CTGCACTGCACACTTATGAGGTGTTGCTGTGGGCTGTCCTCTGCCCTGGGGAGATTGCCATGGACATGCACCTGCCCTACACCTAATGTTCACTCTCAGCTGGCCTCCCCAGGCTGGCTCTCAAATATCACTTGGCAGAACTCTGGAAAAAATTGCCAGCCTGATTCCCAGAGTCACAGTGCACAGGCGAGAGAGTGCTTCCTGACAGACACCCAAACAGCCACACCCTGTGCTTCCCGTCAGAGGACGTGAGGGGCTGGCGAGCAGGCAGGCGTGGAAGCATGTTCCTCCGTGGGCCCCTCGGAAGCGCTCGCACATCCCTGCCATGTGACAGGCTCCTTTGGGTGGACGGGCCTACGTCTGTGTTGACCATACCCTGGATGCCCTGGATTGGAGCTCTGGTTGGGGAGGGTGTGAGACCGTATGAGCCCCGAGTCTGCAGGCACGCCGCCAGGAGGCACCTGTCTGAGCAGCCCATGTTGCCCTGTGGGCAGGGAGCCCACGCCCGGGTGGCCTCTTCTTGTGGTGACTCCTCTGTGGGCCGGGCTCCGCCAGCCGCCCGATTTCTCCCCCAGTGTTGGTGTCACACATGTGAGTGAAGTAGTGGGAAGAGCCCAGCAAGCTGCACCGGGTGGCCGCACCAGGCCTCTCTGCCCCCAGGCCTCACGGCCATGCCTTTCCTCCATCGCGGAGCTTGGCAGCTCTCCCGCCTCCACCCCCATCTCCACAGCTGCCATCCGACCGAGATGCCCTGTGCTGGGGCCAAGACCCTCCCACGAGCGCCTCCTGCTGCAAGCTAACTCCAAGGAACCCCGGGTAACAAGCACACCGCCTGCCACCTGCCTCTCAGAGAAATGATCCCCAAGGGCTCCCGAGACCCTTGCCCTGTCCACCCCTACCGCTGCTCGGCCCCGTGGTGTCCATCTCTCCCGCTGCTTCCTGGTGCCTGCGCGCTGTGGGGGGCCTTCACATCTGTCTCCCCATTCAAGATGCCTCCCCTCAAAAACTCCATGTTCCCCGGGCCCATTCAAACCCGTGCCCATGCGCATTTTCCAGGCTGGCTGCTGTTGGTTTCTTCCTTGTCTGCCTTCTTCATGTAAAGCACCCGCATTCTGCATGTTACCTAGTGATAATTTCTAACCATTTCACCCTGTCTTGGCTGCCTTCCTCTTTATAAGTCTCCTAAGCCAAGGAATGGTGTCTTCACATGTTCCCATTCACATGACCTAGTGCAAACGGGGCAGGACAGGGCTCAAAGCCTTCTTATCGAATCAGAGGGTTGCATGTGAGGCGCTAGCTCGGGGATGATTTTAAGCATGGACGCTCATTACATGCAAGCCCTGTGCTCATTGTAGTGCAACCCAGGGGCCCTGGGGGGGAGCAGAGCCACCCTCCCTGGGGAGGTGGGCTGAGCCTGCACATTCACACCTGGGAGCCTTCCCACCGCCATTCAGTAAATGTTTAGGCCCATCAAACAAGGTGCTTTTCTATGAAACCCCTTCAGGGCATCCCAGGCAGAAGGAACAGCCGCAACACATATGTTCACAGTGCTGTGCATGATTCCTGCCACAGTGCTCAGGGCATTTCACTGCCGGTGAAGCCCCGGCTGCTGGGAGGGCCGCTGCCTTCAGGTCGGGGGTCCTGGATGCTGGCAGAGAGAGAGCCAGGAGAGGCCACAGGGTGAGAAGCCCCGTGGGCAGGAATGCAGAGTCCGCGCCTTCAGGAGGCATGCAGTTCCTATGCTCCAGGCTGAGATGGCACTTTGGAATATCTCTGACTGGAGGAAGACAATGCCTGCAGATGGTGACCCATCAAGCCAGGGAGCAGGCCCCTGGCCAGCACACCCTTCCCATGCTGGCTTTGGAGCGCTGACTTCCTTGGCTCCTGAGCTCTGTGCACACGGAGCTCGAGGGCTCCCCGGGGTGCAGAACTCGCTTCAGAGCTGACATCCCCGAGCACGAGCTTGTGGGAAGGACCCAGGGCGGCTCCCATGCCTTCTATGACCCCTCGGAGAGGAGGGTGTGGGGAGTGCAGACGGGCTGGAGCACATACGACAGTGTCTTATTGATGGTCTTGCTGGAAATGATGCTCTTAAGGACAAGGCCTGGGTGCATTGATAATTAACTTTTAAATGCCATTTGCCTAAAACTTGAATTCCAGAGCAGTTAATATGCCCCTGGCTGCCTGGCCTTCCCCTGGCTTCTGAGTGGCCTCAAGGCATAGGGTTTGAGCTCAGTGAGGGCATCACTGCAGACCGCCATTGCTACCATTCTTACTGCTTTGAACACCCTGGATAACGTTGAGCTTTCTAGCGCCTGATGCAGATTAAATCTGAGAAAATCCCATATTTGTGGGCCAGTTTTCATGCAAATTCGGGCTAGCATTACAGAGTAGAAAAAAGCCAGTTCCAGAAGCACAACCTGGTATTGAGTTTTTGTCTTTTACCAGGTGGGAGGTGGTCATGCCAAGGGTGGGAGGGGCTGAGTCCAATTCTCCTGTGTGCCACCCTGGTTTCCCAGTCCCCAGGCTGCCCCCAGCCGATTCCCCCACTCAGCTCGTTGGTTTGCATGGTGGAGATGCCAGGGGTCCCCTCTCTGGTCCCTGCACACATGTGTGTCTCCCAGAGACACCAGAAGGATTTCAGTCTCTGCCCGGCCCTGTCACCATGGAACACGTCTTGTCGGTACAGCAGGCTCCTGTCCCGGTGTGTGGCCTTGGATGGGTCCACGAGCACTCAGCTCCTGCCTCATCCTAATCCACAGCAGAGGCCAGGTCTAGTGTGCCCTGGGGGGTTGCGGTGGTTGTGAGAAGCCTGTCGTGCAGCACAGTGACTCTGGGTTGGACAAAGCTGGGTGGGCTCCTGTACAGTGGGACCCCTTGGCCTCTGATTTGGGAGTGGTTGTGATAGATTGTAGGCCCTTTGTTTGGGGGAGATAAATAAAGCCCATCTGGTGCCCTTGACCTTCCGGCATCCTGATCCCCAGAGACACGTTCCAAGGCTTAGCATTCCTCTGGAAAGCCAGCTTTGTTTCCATGATCCCATGGCTTCTTTCCTGGGGCCTCCAGCCAGCTGCTTTTCTGAAGAAGAGTCTTGGGTTTCTAGGAGAAAGGCCTGTGCCACGTGGGCCTCACTCTGCTGCTTTGGACTGCCGCTCCGCCTCCACGCAGGTGCTGCTACCCCCACGGTCCCCCATGGAGTGTCCCTGGTGTGTCCCGGGGGTCTGCCCTCCCTGGACTGGTACACAGCCGCACGAGCTCACCCTGCCCTGCTCCTGTGGGCATGTCTGGGGGGCCTTCTGCCACCTGTCCAGATGCCAGCTCAGGGAGCCTGGCCTTTGAAGTCCGAGTGAAGCTGATTGGGCCATCACTGCACACCTAGTGAGGTCACTTCTGCATTCCGCCGATGCTTGGCGAGGGCGCAGCACATATTTGAGGACAGGTGTTTGCCGGGTGGGGGCCCTGTGGGGCCTCACTCATGCCAGCCCGTCCGTGTGCTTGCCAGGCTTTGCTCGTGCATGGCGTCAGGAAGGGCGAGCCCCCAGGTGCCTGTCCACCATCTCCCTTTCAGGGCTGGGGGCCCATTTGCCAGGTCCCCATTCCGTCAGAGCACTTGAGTCCAGCTCAGCCCCTTCACATCAGATGCCACTGTGCTCTGGCCCCACTGCAGTTGGACAGGGGCACTAAAGCCCTGGGGGTGACGACCGTGTCTCCTTGTGCCTGCTCCCTGAAGGGCTGTGGTGATAGCTTGGCACCCGGATGCCATCTGCCTCCTGTACGCAGAGGGCTTCAGACAGTTCAGTCGTGGAGAACGATCATATTACTCTTTCTCTCTGTCAGAGCCCCGATCCCGGCCTTCTGCTGCTCCTTCCACACATGCCGCTAGTCAGGGTGAGCGTGGGCACCAGCCCTCCCTCTGCCTGGGTCCTGCCTGGGCCCTCCTGGGCCACCTGCTGGTCCCTGAAGAATGAGTAACATACACATCTCAGAAACCACCGTCAGCCCCTCACCCTAATCAAGGGGATCTCACCCCTGTAGATGCTCCTGCCTCAGCTGTCCCCGCCTTTGGTCACATTATCCCCCTTCACCAGCATGTCCGTAGACCTGGCACTTCTCACCTCTGCCTTCCTTAGGGAATGCCATCCCATATTTCTGTCTTGAAAATCCTACTCCACCTGCGAGGTTCAGCCCAGACGGCATCTCTGGGAACCTTTGCTGCTACCAGCAGCAGAGGTATGCACCTGCCTCCTTGGAGCTGGTATATAGGGGGGGCCAGTGTCTCTCTGAGCACCCATGTAGGCCCGCCCATCCTGGTTATGTCATTGCTCACTGGCTGTCCCTCTGTGGGGATGTCATCATCCCCATTTTAGAGCTGAGGGGTTAAGCCACTCGCCAGAAGTCACTCAGGAAAGTGGGCAGTGGCTAACTTTGTCCACCTGGTCCCAAAGTCTGAGTTCTTTCCCACGAAGAGCACAAACCTTAGGACCATTTGCATCTGCATGTACTGTGTTCCCCCTGATGCCCTATGTGGCCACCAGTGCTGTGGTCACGCGCCTGTACACTGAGGCCTCTGTCAATGTTTGTAGGTTTCAGTGTTTTTACTGAAACATGTTATACTTTTGCTCATAATTATTTGTGCCTGAAAGAAGATATGACAGAGTTGTCATCAAAGTAAAGGTTCAGATATTAAAATTAAGTGGTAAAATATACCATTTATTTCAGCTGAGTAATCTGTATATATTGAGTTGTATACGGTTATGAAAATATACTTAGTGTGTGCATATGACAAGGAGATCTTTGTCATAATAAGGTGCAACATATGAATGATTTGATAAGGAAGCTGTTTCTAAACAAGCGTTGCTAGGTACCAAGTCAGATATGGCTTTGTTTACTGAGACAGTGGTCCGTGCAGCTGCACACGCAGCCTGCCTTTCGTTCTGCTGTTGCGTTTGTGCCTGTAACCCGAGCCTCTGCTGATGTTTCTTTGTCTCTTCTGTCTGCAGAGTCGCAGTGCACCCTCTGCGGGGAGCCGGAAGGTGAGTGTGTCCCCTCCTATACCTGCTTCAGGTGGGCACGGCCGGGAGGCACCCCACAGGAGATGTTGTACACCTGCCTCAGGTGGTGACAAACGGCCGGGCCTATCAGAGAGCACAGTGAAAATCAAAAGCATCTCTGTGGTGTTTGATGGAAAAGTAGGCAACACAATCAGAACAGTGCCCGGGATGGCCCGAGGCAGGCGGAGTTAACCTCTAAAGGGAGACTCCCATCACAGCCAGACTGCATGCTGTTTTGTTCTGGATTTAGAAATTTCAGTCAGTTTTCTCCAGATGATAAATGTCACTCTCCGAAATTCGAATTTCTTGACTTTAAATACATTAGCCAGCAGTGTTGATGGGCTGAGACTCATGTGAGGTCGACCTCACAGGGCTGCCCTTCACGGCAAGTGGCAGAGGCTGGATCCGGGGAACCCCCACAGTCATAGAGGCTGAACGTGGCTGGACGCACATGCAGCAGCATTTTGGGGGGAGCTTTACAAGGGGAACTCCTGAGGGTGTCATTGTTACCTGGGTCCAAAGTAGTGAAAGCGGAGACCTGTGAAATACGTTCCAGTGTCCTAGTAAGGGAGAATGGGGAAAACGTGATGGACACGGAGCCCCTGTCAATGGGGACGGAATCTCAGGTTTGATTTTATAGGAAAGAGGCACTTGGCCAGGAAAGTGATCAGCCTCAAGGTGCCGTGAGATAGGCCGACCCAGGGTGTCGTCTCAGCGCAGTGCGGCCTGCTGGCATCTGCCCTGTGTCCAGCAATCCCAGGGGGCTCCTTAGAGAGGAGGCTCAGTGCCTAATTATTTCTGCTGACAAGGCTTTCAGTCCCAAATTGAAAAAAAAAGTGAATATAGGGTTAACCTGGAAATTCCATCAAACACTGTTTATTTCCCCAAATTTGTGGTTAATTGGGATATTATGATCATGTTTCTGAAATTCTTGGTATGTTGTTTAAGGATTATATAATGCATAGATGTAGCCATGAAGAGGCCCATTAACTTATATTTTAAAGTCTTTAGCTTTGTTACTAAGTAAAACATGAGGCTTTGCAGCCCTATGTTTCCAGGGTCCAGGCATGTGTTGTTTTACTCACTGGGGATGACGGTGCCAGAAGGGCCTCGGGGAGGTGGCTCAGCTGCACTCGCTGCCCCAGGGCTCAGAAGCCTCGGGACCTCTGTCCTCTGCGCCGCGGCATTGTGGGGCTGACGACATCCCCCGGCCTGTCTTCTGTCTCCTCGTTGTCCTTTCTGCCCCAGGAGCATGCGCACCATGCTTCTGCTTCCTGCTTAAGCCTCCCTGTCCCTGGCCTCGCTGTTGAACGTTTTCCACGTGCAGTGGACACTGGCGAATCATATACACAAGCCCTGCGCATCATTGCTTAGCCGAACCGCGTCGTGGTTTCCTTGTCTACACGTTTCGATGAACAAATGTCTGCTTTCTGCCAAGGCTGTGTGGACTGTGTGGAGTTCGGTTTCTCGCTGTTTGCTGCCTCCTGCCGCCGTGGCTGAGCAGACCGCGGCGCCCGCAAAGGAGCAGGGCTTGTGTGGCAGGGTGGGGGTGGGGGCTGAGTCGGGGCGAGTTGCCAGGGCATCTGCCTCGGGGGCCATCTTTCCATTTCTGTGGACATTCACGGAGGTGGGACCACCTCAGGTGGGCCTGAGAGGCCCCAGGCTGACCTCAGGGGCACAGCAGCCTTCAGCACTGCCAGAAACAGTGGGATCCTCCTGTCCGAGGGCCAGACCCCCTTAGCCCCAGCACATCCAGCCTCATCCCTGGACAGGAGCCGGCTGTGGTTCAACTTCCATATCTCAGACGTTGCCAGCCCACACTCAACGGTGCAAAACTCTCAGGAGGAGAGGAGGGAAATGTGTCCCCTTTACATCCCAGATCAATTTAACACTCACAGTGAGACCGACTTGAGTCATTGTCAGAGTGATCCCAGCCAGAGGGACCCCGAGGGCTAGGAGGGCCCTCCAGTGGAGGCCTGGCTGCCAGGCGGCTGAGGGCTGGGTTCCGCCTCAGGGCAAGGCCAAGCCTGTCCTGAGATCTGTCCTCTGAAGGCACTGCAGCATCTCAAACGTGAATGTGGGGTTGCTCCAGACCAGGCATGGGGAGGGGAGGCTGATGGCATGGTCTCAGCTGCCCTGTATTTTATGAAAAGCACTATCATGAATATTCATAACGTTTTTAAATCATTTAAGTAATTAGTTTAAGTGAGAGCTGGCAGGGTGCAGTGCATGGAATCTGAAATCAGCTTTTTTGTTCAGTAATTTCTTCTGCAGCTTCTATCAGTTAACTCATAAACGCCGATGCACAGAAAGGCTCAGAGCCAGAGGCTGGCAGTAGAAACACAAGTTAGATCTGGGCATGCAGAGCTCGCCTCACCCACAGATTTAAAGCAGCAGCCTGTTAGGCCCTCTCCTTCTTGTCAGGGAGCTGTTGACAGTCTTTCAGGGCAAAGTTGGTGAAATGGGGAACATCTATTTGCGTTTTAATGATTTGCTTTCTTGTGGTGGGTGGTGCTGATTCTCTGGATACAGACTGAAGAATTAGCATTGTCTCAGGTGTAATATCCATCAGGCCAATGAGACGAGGAACAAAGCTTACAGGACAGTGGACCTCAGAACTGTACACTTGTGGATCTCTGCAATGGCACGGTCTGTTTTTCAGAGAACTTAAATTTTTAATTGTGTATAAACTGAAGATCACAGTTTCAATAAGCACATCGCTTACACTTCCTACATTACTAGGTCTCTGACATTTGGACCACAGTGCCTGCGTGAGATGAAAACATTCAGTGGAATTTGTTGTTATTTATCAGTATCTTTCTTCCTACCAAAAATAAATAGACAATTCAACTCTGAATGCTTGAGAGGAAGGGTAGGGGTGGAGGAACATGCCAGTTAGCAGACTCATTGTGCTGTTTGCAGGGGTGCAAGGAACTGGTGCTTGGCTTTGCTAGAGACCTATTCCCCAAAAACAAAATGGTTAAAAATTTATTAAGAGCAATTTCATCTGTTACAGTTTTTGCATAAAACCTTACTAGTAAGACTCTCAATTTGTATCACTTTCCTAGTGGTTCCTGTTATCTTTCAGATACTACAAGTAGCTGTGAAGCTTTCATATGATATGAACTATTAATTTAATATAGGGAAATAATTTACAAGCATGATCCTTCTCAAACTTTGATAGATACATGACACCTCTTGCTTTTTAACAAGATCCCAAGGGAAATTATGGATGGGTGGGATCATAGACGTCAGTCCATAGATTTGTCTATTTTGTTTACATTTTTATGGTTTGATTTGCCCTCCTTCCAGATAGATTTTCCAGTGTTGGAAGATGGATAATGATGCCTGGCAGGCTTAGGAGAACTTATTTGAAATCCACTATAATGTAATAACAATGTCTTACATTTATGTTGTTTAGCCCAGTCAAAACTCAGAGATAAAATAAGTGATTATGCTGCAAACTTGGCATTAAGGAATATGCTACAAAAATGTCAAGATGGATTTTAGCATGAAAGATTTTTCAGTGATAGAGGCCTTCAAAAGTTGTGGACCATTTGTGGTGTCATAAATACACATTAGATTATTTGAAAGTGTCTTTTGTAGAAATTCTAGTCCACAAGCAAATTCAAGTTTAAAAAATATCACAACAAATTTAATGTAAGAGATTTTCTTTATAAATCTGGTATTTCTTTTTACTTTGATCATTTAAAAACACAAACTGCATACTGCTCTTGGACTTTTGGATCAACATACAGACCCTTATATTTTACTACTAGTAGAAGAAACCAAAGCTACCCTTTCTCTTCATCTTTATGAGTGAGAAAAAGTGGAGGAATTTTTCCTGTATTTATAAGCATTATGTCTGATTTTTTAAATCCAAATGTTCAAGATTTTCCCCATGAATGACTCTAAACAACAGAAAATTTCACAGTTTTTGTACGATATTGAACATGTGTCATCCTGAGATTTTAAGACCTCTCAACAATTGGGGAAAATAAATAAGGTTGCTTTTTGAAAACTGGGCATCAAAGGGTTTAGAAAGACTCATCTCCCTCCCACCAGCTCTCATCCCTGCTTGCAGGGCTGCAGGGTGTCACCATTCACCCACAGCTGGTGCCCCTCTTGTTTTGAGAGCATACCTTTTTAATCATATGCCTTAGATAAAAATAGTATGTTCTGATTGCTATTCTTGGATGGTTAGTGGAAGATAACCAGCATTTTAAGTTCTCAACATGTGCCAGGCATTCTAGAAAAAATCAGTGCTGCCTAGGAACTCAAGAGTCCAGCTAGTCTCTAAGACAAGGCAGAGCTCCTCTCCGGCCAGTCTGTCTTCTGGGACCTTCGCATGGTCAGTATTTGAATGAAAACCAGGAAGTGCTGTCTAGGACAGGAGCAGGAGCTCTCTTTGCCATGACTGCTGACGGTGAAGGACGTGAGGACTGTGGCGTCGGAGTCGGGGCAGGACCTGCCTTCTGCACAATGTCAACAAACACTTGCTTCCAGTGCACAACTGAGCTTGAATGAAAGAAGGAAAGGAAATCCCCTAGGTCCCAAGAAGTAATAAAGAACTTTAAACCAGAGGTTATACATGCTTCAAAGCCATGGCAGCCCCTGAGAAACAAGACCCAGAAGGGGGCTTGGGGTGGCTGGAGGCCTAACACGCAGGCAGAGGAGGGGTGCCAGCCACACCTGCAGTGGGGTGTTGGAGGTGCTAGCACCGAGTCCTTGGAATAAAACCTGGAATATCAACAAATTTCCCCATTTGTGAGAAGATAAGAAAAACATGGGCCCAAGATTAGCATAAAGGAAGCTTTTCCCATTCCAGGGTCATGAGTGGGATATGAAGTTACCAACAAGAAAGACACACCCCAGGCCTGGATGAAAGCCTGAATTTCCACAACCTGTGCATTGTAGGACCACAAGGTGAAATTAATGTGAAAATTGCTCCAGAACCTGAGTGCTGTGACAGAACCAAAGCA